AGTGTTGTGAATGGTATGACTGGCAGGAGAATGTGGGAGAATGTGAAAATTAAGTGGAACAGTATTGAATGTGATCATTTAGATGTTTTGTTGAGGCATAATAGGGTGTTTAACAACCTGATCATTAGCCATTTTGATGCAACTGTTGAGAGAGAGTGTGATGTGTGTAAGGATCAGGTTGAAACGTGTGTGCATGCAACACATCCTCACTCCCAGGTCGGCCTATGTTGACGTTATGTCAAGTCCCCTGTCGGCTTTTTCCAACGCAAGGGGGGGGGCCTTAGCATCCATTTTCAACGCAAGGGGGGGGGGCCTTAGCGTCCATTTTCAGCTTTCCGGGATGTCCATATGCTTCTATGGACGCTCATGGAAGCACGGCATTCGTTTGTGTCGGCTGCCCTTAAAGGCAATGTGAGCGTCCATTCTCATTGGATAACGGAGAATTGTACACCCGGAAGTAAGTATTTCCCTTACTGTCGATTGATTTTACAGTGATATCTGCACTACTCATCGACTAAAAAACGCCAGATTATCCTTGTTAATTACACAACATTGATTGGTTTAAATTGTGTGCAATGCTTTTGTATTTTTCCCCTTCGATTCAGAGAAACAAATATTTTTTCAGAGTAAAGGATGGCAGAAGACACTACACTACCCAGAATCCCCAGCTATCGTTTGGACTACACCATGTGCTCTGTTTGACGTCACGTGATCTTCAAATTTCTCCCTGCAGAAAAAAAAAACATGGCCGAACTTCGTTTTATTCTCGGTGGAAAATGCCTATTTTAAAGTTAGTTTGGCCATTAAAATGCGTTTTGATGTCATTTGATGGGAGAAATATGAGTTGTTATTTCAGATTATGTGTGCAGTGGATGTACATGATCTTTAGTTTGCTAGTTATTACGAAGATTACTTCAGGAAATTGCGTCCATAACGTTTTCATTGTTACCAAGGTGGTTGCTAGGGACGCTGCTATCGATATTATTTCTGTTATGTTGTGTAACTGTTTAATGGTGTTATCTTTATTGCTACCCCCTTCCCCGTCAATGTATAGTGTTGGTCCACAGCGCAAACATATTAGTTTAACAAAATCCGCATCTAAAGATACGTTATTTTCCCATGTGCAATTCCAGTCTCACATCTCACAGCACATCGTCATTAACAAATACCGGAAACAGACCGAAAACATTTTTTTTTTTTTTAAATAATACTTTATTCCGAGTGTGCTTGCTTTTCTCTTTGAAAGTCATCACATAACGGCATTGTAATACACGGTTCGGCTGCATTAAATATTACATATCTGCCGTAGTTCTGTATTTATAGAGCCCTGATGAGAAGACTTCTAGACAAACATGAGGAACTGAAAACGTGATGTGGATCATAAATATATCAGCCATTAAACAACATCTTACATTTCTTTTCACACAATACGTCTCCTTGCAGTATCAACACTAATTCGGCTGACTTTTATATTTGATCCAATTGGTAGATAGGCTGTATTTACACCATAAAGGTGCACAGCTGATATAAAGGGACACCTAGTGGTTAAAGCATGTTATTGAATTTCATTATTTTTATTATTAGATATGAATAGGATCCCTATAAAGTATATTCATTACTCGTTATTCTCTACTAATAGTTCATTAAAGACTGTATATAATGACTATTTTGCACATCCCTTTCAAGATTTCAAGATTTTCTAAGGTTTATTGACATAATTATCATATAGGCCCACACAACTATGGTGTAGTTCTGCATTGAATGAAAAACGTGGGTCGCAGGTTCCTCAATAGCGCATTACAAGACATCTATCAATATTTGTGCATACCTCCAGCAATGTTAACTATGTTGAAGCATTTATTTTAACTGATATTATACATAATGTATTATACTCTTATAAGATGTATGTAGATATTTCATCTCCGGCCTTGAACAATCAATAAATAAAGAACACAGAATTGTTAAATATAAAACACAGAATTTGTGTGATTATACTAAATGATTTACAAATAAACACCACTGCATATTTAACTGTTACACATGCTGATGTAACGCAAATGTTCCAACTTGGGATCAATAAAGTATATCTTATCTTAAGCTGATCGATGGCTTCTGCCATATTTGCAAAATGTGCCTCTGAACCTTGACAAGTGCATGTTTCAGGCTTTTCAATTAATGTAATGTAATGTTATCAATTAACAACAGGGGTCACACACATAAGACCAGCTGTTAAATAAAGCTCTTCTGACCTTAGCTGGCATGTGTGTATATATATATTAATGCTGCCCATTATGGGCACAAGCAATTTTCACCCATTTATTAATTATATGTTTTAAATGTGAGTGTTTCCTATCCCCTAAACCTCCATGTACACAGTTCAATACTGGCAACTTCTTATTATGGGAAATACGAAACTACAACTCCCAGTAGAGACGTGCCATAGATAGAGAACATGTTGCGAAACAGAATAGCCAGCATGTGTAGTTCTGGGGATGGGGTGGGGGAGGGGGGGACGCGGTGGACCCGTTCAAATCCAGTTTTGGACAGTCTGCCGTGATTCCATCCCATTTTAAGTGCTGTTCGAGGCTCGGCGTAACCCTCGGAGCACACTCTCCAATCACAGAGCTTGAGGACTATCACGGGGTTTGTCAAACAGAGCACATGGTGTAGTGCAAACAATAGCTGGGGATTCTGGGTAGTGTAGTGTCTTATGCCATCCTTTACTCCGAAAAAATATTTGTTTCTCCGAATCGAAGGGGAAAAATACAAAAGCATTGCACACAATTTAAACCAATCAATGTTGTGTAATTAACAAGGATAATCTGGTGTTTTTTAGTCGATGAGTAGTGCAGATATCACTGTAAAATCAATCGACAGTAAGGGGAATACTTACTTCCGGGTGTACAATTCTCCGTTATCGAATGAGAATGGACGCTCACATTGCCTTTAAGGGCAGTCGACACAAACGAACGCCGTGCTGCCATGAGCGTCCATAGAAGCATGTGGACATCCCGGAAAGCTGAAAATGGACGCTAAGGGCCCCCCCCTTGCGTTGAAAATGGACGCTAAGGCCCCCCCCTTGCGTTGGAAAAAGCCGACAGGGGACTTGACATAACGTCAACATAGGCCGACCTGGGAGTGAGGATGTGTTGAGTTTGTTGAATGTAAAGAGCTTGTTTTTTTTGGAAGGATGAAAGAGTTAATTGGTAGATGTTGGAATGAATGGTATGTGAGAGAAATGGAATGGAAGGAGCTGTGGCTGTTTGGTGTGATTGAGAAGAAGGATGAATGCAATGTGAATCTTTTAAATTATGTTCTGAGCCATGGAAGGCGTGCGGTCCAAATAAGGAGGAACATTGCCCATTTCGAGGGTAAAATGTCAGAGGTGTGGCATATAATGAAGAGGACAGTAAAAAGGGACATTAACCTTGTGCTAATACATGTGGAAAAGGACACATTTTGCGAGGATTTTGTGGATGGCAGCAGGCTAGTTGAGCTGGATGAGGAGGGAGCATTGTGCTTCAACTTTGAACGGAAAACTTAAGGCACACTACCTTTAAGCTAGTGGTATGAAATATTGAATGTGTGTATTATGAGCAATGCTTTATGTAGTTGTGATGAGATGTTAAATGTCTATTTTTGATAATAAAAGATACAACATATTTTTTTTTTTAAAGTAGGGGCTTGGACTGGGAGGTGTAGGGTCGCCGGTTCAAGTCCCCGAACAGACCTAAAATATGGAGTGTGGATTGCCACTTGGAGAGGTCCCAGTTCACCTCCTGCCCTGCCGTGGTACCATTGAGCAAGGCACCGGACACCCCCCTTCCCCCCCTCACTCCCATTGCTCCCCGGGCGCTGTGCAATAGCTGCCCACTGCTCCTAGTACTAGACTCCTGGTGCTAGGATGGGTTAAAGGCAGAGAACACATTTCACTGTGTGTGCTGTGTGCTCTATATGTGTGACCATTAAAGAGGGTTTCATCCCTCCCAATTCTTCTTCTATTCTTCTAGCTTTCAAACTCTGATCAATATCAATTCATGTTTTTTACTAACCGGTATCATTTTGATATGTGTATTACAATTAAATCATAGCAAAATATGTTAATATTGTTGTTGGTATTTTGCCATGATATAATTGTAATACACATATCAAAATGATATGTGTATTAGTATGTAGATATGTGTATTAGTATGGAGATGGACATGTATGGACATGGAGATAAGCCCCGCCTTATCGCAAGCAAGCCTTGTTTGAGTGATGCAGGTAAACACAAATGAAAGCTGCAGTCAAACTCGCGCTAGTAACACAATGCGAAGATTCAATCCTGTGTGAACGCACTATTTAATTTCATTTTTATTTGTCCCGCTCATGGTACGCAAAACCAAATGTACAATAATTGCCACAAAACATGACTACCATTGAGCGAAAAGGAGCAGGGAGAAGAATACAATCTTATGTGACCTGCCCCTTTCTAAAAAAAACAAAATAAATACAAATAGATGGTCTGCCCTTCATAATAATATATATTTCTTTTTTTTTCACAGCCAAACGTAACAGTATCTTAGGATACTAAGAGAAACACAAACAAATTTTTTTTTATTTCCCACTTGACGGTTAACGGAGAGAAACAAAACAACACCAAAACATCACATGTATAAGGAAAAGAAAAGTGCAACACCCTCATCTGAGTCCTACTGGAGAAGAAGGTGGAAAGCGACGCATCATGATAATAATAACAATAACAAACAATTGTTTAAGAGTAGTCCTTGCATATGGATGCTTAACATTTTATTTCCTTCTGTGGAAAGGAAATTATAAGGCTAATGAAATGGTCAAAAACATTGTCATACAGGGCATAAATAAATGACAACCTGTCAGAGACTTACGTTCATTCTAATGAACACTGATCATCGTCTTCCACGCTAGCCCTTGAACTTCTCATATCAGTGCTCAAGTCATGAGACTGTAAAAACTGTGCGTGTGTTTGTTTGTCTATGCAGGTCCCTGTCCGGTCGTATAGTGGGGGGGGTGTGGTGGTTTTTCACTCTGATTATCATCTCATCATACACTGCCAACCTGGCAGCTTTCCTGACGGTTGAGAGAATGGTTTCTCCAATCGAAAGTGCTGAAGACCTGGCTAAACAGACAGATATCACGTATGGAACCCTCGACTCTGGATCAACCAAAGAGTTCTTCAGGGTAAGGGGCATGCAAATAGCAACTTCACAATCCAAAAGAAAGATAACAATGGCTACATCAAACCTACAAGTAGGAGTTGCGATGGTTGTTCCGGCTAACGTTTATAGTGTTCTACTGATCGGCAGTTGCAGCAGGTAAACCAGAATTGATTGAAACATTTATTTAAATAATGCAGGTTTTGCAGTATTCTGTAAATGTTTTTCAATGAGGTGCATTAATTTTACTTCAATGATACAAATGTGTTTACACGAAAATTCCACATTATACTTTAAAACACCCTGTGTACATTAGTAATACAGTGAACTTAACGGTACATACGTTTTTGCAACGTTTCATTGTTTCTAATCTGTGAATTTCTCTTTTTTCAGCGCTCTAAAATTGCCTTGTTTGACAAGATGTGGCAATATATGAAATCAGCAGAACCCTCTGTCTTCGTCAAAAAAACCTCTGAGGGCGTCCTGCGAGTCAGGAAGTCCAAAGGGAAATATGCCTACCTGCTGGAGTCCACCATGAATGAGTACATAGAGCAGAGAAAACCTTGCGACACTATGAAAGTGGGAGGAAACCTCGACTCCAAAGGCTACGGCATCGCCACGCCAAAAGGATCCCCATTAAGGTGGGTGGATCAGTATAACAATGCTAGCCAACCTGCACTGCCATGTACCATTCACACTACTAACCTGCTGCCGAGTTCTGTTTTCGCCCCTGTCACAGCTCATTTCGTGAATAGAGACATGTTTTATTGTCAATTTACAATTTAGAGTAGATTCAGAATTTCTTTCATTCAGAGCTCTAAAGCCCAGTGATTCAAAACCTTTATTTATCCAGGTAAAATCCCATTGAGATCAATGATCTCTTTTTCAAGGGATACCTGCAGAGTGATGATCGGAATACACCTACTGACCATCGGCTATAGTAGTCAGGGAGTTTTAGCTAGTGTGTGAACTGTGGCTGTGTTCATGTACAGCCCTGCTCAGGAAATAAAGCACCATGGGGAGCGATGTAGTCTGGTCCCAAGCCTTAGTGCCAATTGGGTGTTGCAGTATGTGAGTGTGATGAATGGGGCATGGCGGCTTACTCGTTGTTATAATAATCCACCTACCCTGATGACATCTTCTCAGTGGTTTGTATTTGTACCATGGTTACCACAACTGACCATTGGCTGGTGGTGGTTGCCATGACAACTGGGGGAGGGCTGTTAAAGTTTGATATTTCAGGTCTCAAAGAAATACTCCAGCCCCATCTGCTGCTTTATCAATTTAACTGATTTCATATTCTGTCTGGTAAGGATAATTTGTTGTCAGGTTTTTCAGCAATTATGATGAGCTGGCTCTTTAAGACCTGAATCAAGGGATTGTTTGTTGTTGTTCATAAGTATATGACATACACCGTGTGTGTGTGTGTGTGTGTGTGTGTGTGTGTGTGTGTGTGTGTGTGTGTGTGTGTGTGTGTGTGTGTGTGTGTGTGTGTGTGTGTGTGTGTGTGTGTGTGTGTGTGTGTGTGTGTGTGTGTGTGTGTGTGTGTGTGTGTGTGTCTAGAGCTGCATGCTAGTCACTGAGTCTGTTATGTCGTTTCAGCACACTACAGATGGCTGTATGCTTATCTGTCTCTTCTTTGTCTGTTTGTCTTTCTGCCAGTTGGCTCTTTTTGAGTTATGTTTGCCATTACTTGTATTGGTTGAATTTGCCATAAAGCAGCATTAAGCGATTTCTGAAGACCAAAGTGCAATAGACAGTTATAGTGATTAGTTTGATATACTTCAGTATATTGACTAACCAAGATTATGTCTGATCTGTTAGCTTAAACCTGAACATCCCAAAGGACTAATTGTAACAATGCACTGAGACAACAGTACACTGCTTGGCCCCTATTGACTGCCTGTTCATCTGCTTTTTTCATGACATGGCACCAAAATGAGCTTATAGAGCAGCATGCAGCTGAAGGTCCTCATTATGTCAGGTTATATTCAGTGCTTCAGTAATGCTTTATGTTTTTGCACCTGAGTACCATGGTCAACATTAAAAATGCCAGGTAAACACTGTGTGCTCTTGTAAAGTATATTGTGTTCTAGTTCTTGTAAACTACACTGAACAAAAATATAAACGCAACACTTTTGTTTTTGCTCCCATTTCTCATGAGATGAACTCAAAGATCTAAAACATTTTCTATATACACAAAATAACCATTTCTCTCAAATATTGTTCAAAAATCTGAAAAAATCTGTGATAGTGAGCACTTCTCCTTTGCCGAGATAATCCATCCCACCTCACAGGTGTGGCATATCAAGATGCTGATTAGACAGCATGATTATTGCACAGGTGTGCCTTAGGCTGGCCACAATAAAAGGCCACTCTGAAACGTGCAGTTTTGCTTTATTGGGGGGGTCTGGGGGGGTCCGAAAACCAGTCAGTATCTGGTGTGAGGGGTAGGGGTAGGGTTAGGGTTAGGGTTAGGGTAATGTTGTGAATCGAGTGGCCTGTGTTCGTCGTCCATAACATACGCCTGCCCATACCATAACCCCACCACCATGGGCCACTTGATTCACAACATTACCCTAACCCTACCCCTACCCTTCACACCAGATACTGACTGGTTTTCGGACCCCCCAAGACCCCCCCAATAAAGCAAAACTGCACGTTTCAGAGTGGCCTTTTATTGTGGCCAGCCTAAGGCACACCTGTGCAATAATCATGCTGTCTAATCAGCATCTTGATATGCCACACCTGTGAGGTGGGATGGATTATCTCGGCAAAGGAGAAGTGCTCACTATCACAGATGTTTTCAGATTTGTGAACAATATTTGAGAGAAATGGTTATTTTGTGTTTATAGAAAATGTTTTAGATCTTTGAGTTCATCTCATGAAAAATGGGAGCAAAAACAAAAGTGTTGCGTTTATATTTTTGTTCAGTGTATATTGTGTTCATCTCAATTTAATCATAAACATCGTGGTATAGCTGTGAACGGTGCTGACAGCAAAAAAGTAAAACCAACAAAGCATGGCAAACAACTTAAATGGAACTGTGACAGGCTACTCAGACTGCAGGTAGTTAATAGATTTGTCGTATGGAACTTGAGAACAGTGCAAGTTCACAAAAACTAAGTTGTTGCATGACAGGTTGGAGTTTGATTACATTGCATGTCTAGTGATGTGACTATTGTGCATCACTCACATGCAAGTTTGATGATGAAACTATCTTGCATCACTAGTTTCACTAACTTATCAACCATTTGTTATATTTAGCTTTCCAGTTGTATTGTCAGTGCAGATAGCATCCAGGCGGTTAAATTAAACTTGTTAGTCAAGTGTGATGTATTGAAGTTGGATGCAGTGGTTAGGGGATCTGGATCAGTGAGAACATCTGGAAGAGCCAGTTGAACTTCGAGATGTTAAAAGAGCTAGAGAGTTGGTTGCTGACTCAGCAGCAGCAACTAGCAACCCTTTCACAAACTTCTCTCAGTGAAAACCTGAGTTTTATTAATATCGCCTAATGGAGCTTTATGTCCAATCCTTCCATATATCTAATGTATGAAAGTTGTTGTGCTGTAACATGGTAGAACCAGAGACATCTTTTTTTTTTATAGGCCTTTATTCAGGATTTTTTAAATTCAGAACTACATACTCATTAAAGTATTCACTTCTGCAAACGTCTCTTCTACGTTTCCGATGTCTCTGCTCCTAGCATGATCTTTCTGTTATTTAATGTTGTTTTCTCCACTACTGCAGTCAAAGTGGATGAGTTATTATATAAATGGCGGGTTCAGTTCAAAAAAGAAAAAATCCAACAAAAAACCCTTTGGCATGTAAAAATCATAATATAAAAATGTAGCAATGATTTCTCAGTCAATGACAAATTAGATGGTCACACTGAATTTGTAAATAACTAAATTGGAAGTGAACTGAGCCTGTGCCAAGTGATTAGTTACATTCGTACACCAAAAAATATAGTGTTTTAAATGCCCTAAATCAGCATGCATAAATCACTTAGTAATACGTGAAGTGTGCTATTAACAAACCTGCTTGATTCACTAGGAAACAGAATACCACTCTCCATTAGCACCAATTTCACCGCATATACATGTACATCCCGCCATTACATCATTACTTTTATGAAAAAAGGCTCTTCCTGCTGGATTGTCATTGCTCCGTTTCAAGAATGTATATATGTCAGCCAGAGGTTGCGCTAGACTTTTTCGCTGCCCGTCATTTTGACGGACAGGATCGCAACATTTCCGTCAAAATCCATTATCACCCGTCGGCCAGCATGTTCGTGAACTGTCAACGGCGTGTTATGCATGCCCACAGCACCTCGCGAGAGCACGCACAGCGTAAAGCAAATACTTTTGTTGATCTGTTCGGCAAAGTTAGGTTTGGAAACGATATAATTTCCTTTCGGGCGGGCATGCATAACACAGCATAATAACGGAGCCCCGCTGCGGGGATACTTTGTACTAATCTGTCAAAATGACGGACGGCTTTCCGATTTTTCCGCCATTGTTAAAATGTTTTCGTCATAGACGGAAAATATTCGTTAATGCGACCTCTGATGTCAGCTCTTAAAAGTAAAACAAAGAAAAAACACTTGAATTTAGTCTCAGGTAAGATTTTCTTTAGGGTAACTTAGTAAAACTGCTTTGCAAAAATAACTGAATAACTACTTTAAGCCTAAAGTCTTTCATGCATTATCAAAAATGATGCTGTGTACACGTTATGTGGAATGATTACACAAAGTAACCCAAAGTCATTTTTCTTACTTTGTTCTGTTTTTCACTATGGGATATATAGACCCCCCAGGCTTGCACAGGTTTTGCAGCATATGAGCTTTTCCGACAAGCACAAGCACACAGGGCTGTGTTAAGCTACTGTTCCTCCACTGAGGTGGTTTGTGAAACACTGAAAGATATGTGTCGGGAAAACCTACAGGCTAAACCCAAAATCTGACTCTGGCTGCAGGACAACATTAAAAGGCCCTAGTGCAAACTACAAAAAAAGGAGTTGATGATTAAAACATGCATGTCAATTAAATGATAAGCCATGGTTTAAACTATGAGCTGAGCTGTCTTTATCAATGTTGAAATATTTAGTTATTAGTTTATTTTCCTTTTATTATGTAGAACTGCCCAAGGAAAGGAGATATATTCCCTAACAGGACGTCTGTTACTCACATATGCAAGATTCCTCATGGCAAAAGTGTGATTATGACTTTGGGGGATGGTGTTTAATTGGGGTTTGGTATGTGTCAGAGGAGCTTCAAAGTATTTTTCCCATAGTGAAGAAACAGAAGAAAGTTAGAAATAAACACTTTATTTGACACACGTCTTACTATTTGTGTGACACTGGCTCACTTCTCAAGCCATAGTCACTAATATGATCTGAAAAAACGGAGGAAGAACTCAAAAATATTGACATTAAATGGTTATATGTTATGTATTATATCATTCATCATTATTCCTGATCAGGATGAAAACGGATAAATATAATTCCATACTTTGCATGCATAACCTTACTCTTAAACCAAGTGCATTATTCAAAATATTCTTGAATCAGTCCCTTTGAAGATTAGACCAGGAGTTACTGTTACTTTAATTTACCATCATTTTAAGTGAGTGTTACACAGATCTGTTAAAAATCCCTTAAACCTAATAGCCTGATACTTAGAAAAGGTCAGAATTACCCCAGAGAGGAACCTCCAAGCAGACTCAAATTGATGGTGTTCATGGAGACGTGTACGAACAGCAGTGAGGCTGCTCAAGAAGAAGCATTACTATTGTCAGTAATGCCGGCAAATATTTTAATTGCCACGGGATGGGGAAGTCGTTTTTTATGTTCATGTACACAGGGCTTTGATGGTATTTTATGGAATCTGGATCGAATATTTTTTTTCCAATGTTATCTAGCTTTAAACATTCGAAAAAAATATAAAATAGCTAAAATGTTCCAATTCATTCAGCTTTTATAATGCTTACAGCCTGTAGCTATAACTTCAAAAAGAAAAGTATCTAACACTTAAATGCATTTTCTTTGTAAGCTACCTGATACAATTACCAGAAGTTCTGATTTAGTAATATATGGTTTGACCACATCAACTTACTATTATTATATCGATTAAGGTCCAGCTGAGTGATACGACAACTAAAAGTGACATGAGGTAGGTCAAAACATTTTAGAGTTCTCCACTTTTAAATCACAACTTTCCTTTACATGTTTCACCCTAACTCCTACCTTTCTTTTCCCTATAGCTTAACCTCAAACAAAACGTATACCAAATCTTAGTCATTTATTATACGCAAAGCCATAATTTAACTTTAACTTAAAGTAAAACTATGCTTAATAAAAAAATATTTGGATCAATTAGTGTTTGGCCATCAGTTCTACCAAAATACTCACAAAGGAACATGATGACATCACTAAAAATGGATTTTGCAGGTTAGTTACCAATAGAGTGGTGAAATGATTATTCCTATCCCATCTGTTTTTAACCTGTATCTCAGTTTAAAGAGCCACCTTAGGTTCAACTTGTTTTAGTGTTTCCCTTTAGTTTATTAGTTTGTTACTTTTCTGATCAGCTGATCAGCTTGTCTAAGTTGCACTGTTAAATCATTTTTCTTGGTGATATCACCTGATTCAAAATATCAATTAGTTTGCTTAATGTTACCATAATAGTAAGAACAATGACATTCTAAGATATAAGCTGCAGCTGGCAACCTCTGACATTTTACCCGGAGTGAATAACATTGCCAATGCCACCAAACTCCGGGAAGCTGATTCATGGATGTTTTGTCTAGTGTTCTTTATAAATAACAAAGAGCAAGAGGAGATTAAAACAAGATTTAAAGCAAATGTGTCATAGACAATTAAAAACAGTTCATACCCATACCCATCTATATGATCCTGTAAAGGCATATCAAAATATTTGACCTCAACATATTCATGAGCATTCTTATTGCCATTGGTATTCAGCAGATTGGTTTTAGCTAAACATGATTATTCTATCAAATACTAAAGAGTTTGCTGCTAAGAAAAAGAGAGGCATTCCAGCTGTGTATATGATGTTTATGCCAAAGTATTTCATGCTGTTAGCATGCATTCCAGCAGGAGGACTGACATTGACAACAACTGAACTGCTAACAGCCACTGTGTTCATGTAGAAATGCTGTGAACCTGGCGGTGTTAAAGTTGAACGAGCAGGGGCTGCTGGACAAACTGAAAAACAAGTGGTGGTATGACAAGGGAGAATGCGGCAGCGGCGGAGGGGAGAGCAAGGTTAATACACACACACACACACACATACACACACACACACACACACACACACACACACACTAAAACACAGACATTGAGGTAACACTGGGTTGTCAGAAAGAAAAATGTAAAGAAGCAGCATAGTTACAACACCACCTGTAAAGGTAGCAATGCTCTATATAGCATTTCACATACATCTAAGAACAAATGATTACTCATGTTACAAATACATCCTGAATTGAGTTGCTAATAAAAACTACCGACGGGTAACGTTGTCGTCCATGCTGCTTCTTCCACAGATGTGTTGCACCCTGTTTGGTTGAGGTCAGGGTTAGGGCAGACTTGAGGGGCCAGCTCAGGGTCAGGTGACCTCATACCAGATGGCAGCAACAGTCAGGAGCAGGGCTGTTGATAAAGAGTTTGTCGACCTGAACAAACTCTGTTTATCTATGGCTCTAGCCTGGAGGAGTACTTTTGCTGAAAAAGCAAAAAGACTTTTCAATGCAGCGCCTCTCATTCTTTGTCTCTGGGGCCAGACATAGTGTCCCTTACAATTAAAGGACATCATTTTGGCAGATTTGTGTTGTTTATATCAGTGATAACAAACGTAAAGGTCTACAAAATAAAAAAATGTAAGCCTTTGACAATAGATGGTAAGATAACTTAATTATTTGCTTTTGACTTATATTCTGCAAAATTGTAATGAAACGTTTCAACATGGTATTCAAAGTCCAAGTAATGTGGCAAAATGTTGGAAAGCCAATCTGTGGAATGGCACAAACATTAGTGGGCCTTGTCTTGGTTGCTAGACCAAAGAGTGAGAACTGTTGCCCCTCTAATAACATAAGATAACATTGATAATGATGTTATTTATGTTATTTCCATTAAAGAGTGCCAGTAAACCTTGCCGTATTGAAACTGAATGAGCAAGGGACCCTAGACAAGATGAAAAACAAGTGGTGGTACGATAAAGGAGAGTGTGGCTTCAAGGACTCCACCAATAAGGTTAGTTGTATATGTCTGTGGATGAATCACACTGTCTGCTCACACATTCAACACTCACAGTAAACTTGGTTCTAAATGTATCAGGAAAATAAAGCTGTGTGTACATTATAGAAGTCCTATATGTGTGTATTTAGATGCTGGTCTCAGCAGAGTGTGCGTGAATGTTTCCTGGTTCACATTGAAAAACCAAAGACACATGTTATTTGCCAGGTGTAAACAGGAGCAGAATAGAACTTGTCAAGTTAAACTCACCTTGCATTAGCAGTAAGGCTCACTGTGTCACTCAGGTGTTGTAAAAAAACGAATGTTTTACTATGTATATCTGTTTCTCTGTTTGTTTGTCTCAAACCCTATTTAGACACTGAGTTGTTAGGGTAATGACTGCACAGTAGGAGATGCAAAGGCAATTTTAAGATAATATCACAATATATACACAGAAAAGGTAGTGTGTTGTTGATTTTTGGTAGGGCTTCTTTGTTGATTTAAGGCAATCTCTTTGTTTGTTAGTTTATTATGTTATCTGTTTCCCCCCATTTCGGAGGGTTTATGCATGGGCTGTACCAAAGCAGTTTATTTTCAGTGGGGCCTAGGGTGACCAGGTGTCCCACTTTGTGCAGGACTGCAGAGCATTTTTATCCTTTGTCCCGCGTCCCACAAATTGAGACTGTCCCGCATTTGAGTGATAGTCGCGCAGAAAGTCGAAACTTGGCTTTTATCCAATGGCTGAATAGAAAGCAAGATAGGCCTATCACCATTGCCTGTGTGAGATATCAATCAATCAAAAGTTAAACCCACGTGGTAAGACTCGCCCGCCTGTCACCACCCGGCACCCTGGCTTCCTCATTGCCTAGGTTACACGGAGCCCTTTTACCGGCATAAAATAGAACGAAATAGCGGGATAAACTTTTGGTGGTGTAAAATGGAACCTTGGAAAAATTAAATGCAGCTACAACAAAGCCTGGGAAGGTACTTATTCGTGGGTGAAACCCAATGGCGAACCATCAGGGCCTTCAAGGTATTCAGAGAATACCCTGGAACACTCAGATAAAACAAACAAAAAATCGATTTAATTATATAAATAAAATGTATATAAAATGAATAAATGAGAATGGTATCTGTGTTGTTGATCTGTAATATTACAGTGTTACGTTGATTTGTTTGTCCTTCTCGGACCATGCACTACGCATTTCAGTGGTTTTGTGTTAGAAAAGAAAGCAACCAATCAGATCTTGTTCTGGGTCTCTGGGTAGAATATCCTTCAACCAAGGTATTCTACATCCTTGATCGAATGCCCTGGCCGTTGCACTGAATGAGAGCGTCTACAGAAGGTCCAGTTGTGATAGACACGGTTCGCCACTGGTAGATACATTCTATACACAATATTCCCGTGATTGGCAGTAAAACAAAACTTAAACTTATACATACAAGATACATATGTTTGGACTAAAGGACTTTTTAATTGTTTACATTTATGCTAGCAGATTTATGGCATTTCCAGATTATGTATTGAAAATAGCTAAAATGTAAGGACCCTTATAGTGTATTGATACCAACCATGGTGCCAGCAGGTTGTCCTGTCCTGTACATCGAATCCAGTTCAACAGACCCTGGATATGCTTGAGTTATCTTAACTAACCCTAACAAACGTGATCTCGCTAAGCGGTCCTACGACGCTGGTTATCAACTCGGTAAATCAACCCAGGGTTTCTCTGTCTGGCTGAGTGCGAGTTCACGTGAAAGGGGGCGGGGTTAGCAACATTTCACCAATCACAAACAGGGACAAGCGTACTGACAGCGCAGCGTCATACTTCATGAATGAAAAGTAAACTATCATGTTAGACAAATATGAAGAAGTTAGACTTTAAACATCCATGTCTTAAACAGATAAACCAGGATAAAAGCAACACAGCTGCACCTGCAAGGCACAGGAAGAACAGCTCGTAAAAAAATACTACCAAGTGTTTAAATGCGTACATTAACAGTTTTATGATATCACTTCCCCATCTAAGACACGAGTGGATCTGAATTCAATTATATTTGAGTGTTTCGTCAACTTAAAGTGTTTTAAATAACACATCTGCATACAGTGTGATAATTTAAGTGTTGCACGGCCAGATAGGGTTCGAGTAGCTGACACATAAGGAAATATATATTATGATGTGATTTGGATGTGATATGATGTGATAATGAGAAATGCCACACTGTACGCAATGCTCTGAGTTACTTTGCTCCGGTTACTTATGTTGTGGCAGATATTTAAGTAAGCTTGCTTAACGCAAATGTAATAATAGTCGGATTTCTCTGAAGATGGAGGTGATATTCTATTAATGTTCACATTCACACAGTCTGATTTTTGCCGGCTGTCTTTCCTGCATACGGCAGTTTAAACTGTATTTCCTTAATCCTGTAATATTACTTGATAGCTTTAAACTGCTGACCAACACTTGGTCAGCAGGCGGTGCTTTCAGTGAATTGATCTCTTATCTGGAACATGCTCCGCAGCAGGTTTTGGTGTTCAGCCTAATGGAGATCATGGTACTGGGTACAGATGGAGCAGACCTCCATCCATACATCTAAGGCCACATTTGAATTTGTTGATATAAAATACTCTTCTTGCCTGTGCACAGGATGGATAACATCCATTGTTTAACACTGCCATGTCTAAGGGTGAAAAAGAACAACATTTTCCCTGGTTTCTATCAGTTATGTTATTTGTAATCACCAAAGTAACTACTGAGTTCTGTCAACATAGTGACATCACTAAACATAAGCCAGACATGCATACAAATGCACATTACAAGGTCAATACAGACAAACTGATAGAGGATGCTTTATAGTGTGCAGGTCATTTTTAATGTATTTGTGCAGTACCAATTTAAGTCTGTATTTAGTTGACTGTGCAAATGCCCTTTGTATTCACTTGAATGCTGCCTAATGAGGAGAACATTGAATTGAAACAGTAAATAGTGTGTCAGTCATCACAGATGGCTGTTACCTTAAAAACACCTTGTTAAAATAATTGTTCTTGAAGGCTAACCTCTATTTGCTTTATGTGTGTGTGTGTGTGTGTGTGTGTGTGTGTGTGTGTGTGTGTGTGTGTGTGTGTGTGTGTGTGTGTGTGTGTGTGTGTGTGTGTGTGTGTGTGTGTGTGTGTGTGTGTGTGTGTGTGTGTGTGTGTGTGTGTGTGTGTGTGTGTGTGTGTGTGTGTGTGTGTGTGTGTGTGTGTGTGTGTGTGTAGGAGAAAACCAGCGCCCTGTCTCTCAGTAACGTGGCAGGAGTCTTCTATATCCTGGTTGGAGGTCTGGGTCTGGCCATGATGGTGGCTCTGGTAGAGTTCTGCTACAAGAGCCGTGCTGAGGCCAAAAAAATGAAGGTAACTTACTTTTGCAATTCATGTTGTAGTTTGATTGAGTTATAGTTTGTATTGGGATGAGCTCTGTGTATTAAGATATGTTTTTAGAGTTTAAGAAAAATCCTATGGTGTTAAGGGTTTGTCGAGGATTGCCCAATTAGTAGTGATTCATTGTTTCCGTATTTCCCAGTGTATGATTTCAACATACAATAACTTGTTTTGCTATACATTGTCTACATCAACCTTTAAAGATGGTAAAACTTGTTGGCAAACAGTTACTTACTTTTATTGAATTACTTTTAGCTTTATGTTGGTCTTCTGGCCTTTTAGCACCTAAATCCCAACTAAATTGCTCACAGTATGAGCAACTTAGTTGTGCTGCACAGCAAAAACCTTTTCACCCATACGGGTTGCTATATTAAGATAAATGTGTATTACTCACTACACATCATAGTACATCACACTTTTAAATTCATTACGCCTCATGTTCCTTATATGGAGTTGCCTTTCAGGTAAAACGCACATTCATATTATCCAGAAATTAAAGATTCTCTGGAACCCCTTAATACTTATCAAGTATATGTAATATAAATGTTTTTACCATGTGTACTAGCTACATGCATAATTGCTATGGACATTGACTTTGTGCTCCAGATTTGGTATCTCATATTGATTACATTTCTTCCGAAACAAAAAACTAAACTTATCCCTGTAATAATTCTTACAATATTTTTGGAATATTTTATTATTGGGTCATATAATTTAGGACAAGTAAATAAGAAATGTACTCGTGTCAGTGTGTACAAACACTATTGCAAGTTTGTGGTCCTACTCTGTTTTTTGTAAAAATGTGCTTTTATATTTTTTTCATATTTTACAGTAATTGAAAAGAGAGGAATTTGTATTTGTGCAATTTCTTTTAATCTCAATAATCTCACAATAATATGTGTTTTAGGATTATGATTTTCACAGTGTGCTGCACTCACTACTTGAGGTGTTTGGGCAAAGCCTTTAAATTATTTTACAAAATCCCAATTTATATTTTCAGGAGGAGTTTTATCCAAGTTTCTAGTTTTAAAATAGGGCTTCATGTTTTGTGTCCATAAGACATAATTCGTGTGATCAGAACATTTCAAATATTTACCCAAATTCTTGTGGAGATATTCATTTTTCTGAATTGGCTTTGCTTTGTTGCAAAGGGTGTTTATGGCCAAGGTAAATCTCCCTGATCAACACATCCTCACTCCCAGGTCGGCCTATGTTGATGTTATGTCAAGTCCCCTGTGTCGGCTTTTTCCAACGCAAGGGGGTTAGCGTACATTTTCAACTTTCCGGGATGTCCATAGGCTTCTATAGAGCTCCCTAAACGTATGTTGTAGACGACTTGAGATCGCGAGCGAATGCTACCCGCAGATCCATTCTCACAGCGTTTATCAACCTTTTTCTTACTCAATATCAAGCCACACTTATTGTTTTTACTTCTTCATTTTAATTGAATAATGTAGGACTTTTGTTGCCGTCAGTTATGGGGAGAGTAGGGGCTCAGAATACTGAAATCTGTATTGTTTCATCGTTTTTTCCTTCTAATTTTGTATTATTTTCTAAACCACACACTGTTATTTACTCAACAATAAGACACAATTATCCTTGTGTTTATTTATTTGTTTGATTAATAAACACAAGTTGGAGTCCGTCAGGACGAGAATTTTACACCTGGAAGTAAGTATTCTCTCCGCTTCGCTTGACAAACCCCGTGAGAGTCCTCAAGCTCTGATTGGATGTTTGAGTGTGCGCCGAGGGTTACGCCGAGCGTCGAACAGCACTTGAAATGGGATGGAACCACGGCAGACTGTCCAAAACTGGATTTGAACGGGTCCACCGCGTCCCCCCCTCCCCCACCCCGTCCCCAGATCTACACATGCTGGCTATTGTGTTTCACAACATGTTCTCTATCTATGGCACGTCTCTACTGGGAGTTGTAGTTTTAAAAGACGTTTGCGTATTTCCCATAATAAGAAGTTGCCAGTATTAAATTGTGTACATCCCTGGAGGTTTAGGGGATAGGAAACACTCACATTTAAAACATATAATTAATAAATGGGTGAAAATTGCTTGTGCCCATAATGGGCAGCATTCATATATATACCCACATGCCAGCTAAGGTCAGAAGAGCTTTATTTAACAGCTGGTCTTATGTCTGTGACCCCTCCTGTTGTTCATTGATAAGCCTGAAACATGCACTTGTCAAGGTTCAGAGGCACATTTTGCAAATATGGCAGTAGCCATCGATCAGCTTAAGATAAGATATACTTTATTGATCCCAAGTTGGAAACATTTGCGTTACATCAGCATGTGTAACAGTTGTACATATGCAGTGGTGTTTATTTGTAAATCATTTAGTATAATCATACAAATTCTGTGTTTTATATTGAATAATTCTGTGTTCTTTTTTTATTAAATGTTCAATACCTGACAAGGTCGGAGATGAAAAACTTGGGTCGCAGGTTCCTCAACAGTGCATTACAAGACATCTATCAATATGTGTGTATACCTCCACCATTAAACTGTCCTATTCTGCACATTTCTTATACTATCTACATACATCTTATAAGAGTATAATACATATGTATAATATCAGTTAAAATAAGTGCTTCAACATACAGTAGTTAACATTGCAGGAAAGCAATATATTAGTACTTTGTCAGGCTTAATATTTATACTCCCAAAGCTTTTTTCTTATTCAAAATAAGATCTTAACCTAAAGTATTCTTTAATGTTTAAATAAAGCCTTATTAGTTTGTCTGTCTGTGTCTCCTATTAATATCTAATAATAAAAATAATACATTTCAATAACGTGCTTTAACCAGATGTCCCTTTCTATCAGCTGTGCACCGTTATGGTGTACATATACCAATATACTGATTGGATCAAATATAAAAGTCAGCCGAATTAGTGTTGATACTGCAAGGAGACTTATATTGTGAAGAGAAATTGAAGATTTTGTTTAATTGCTGATATATTTATGATCCACGTCACATATTCAGTTTCGGCGGCAGTTCTCCTGTTTGTCTAGAAGTCTTCTGATCAGGGCTCTATAATTAGAGAACTACGGCAGATGTGTAATATTTAATGCAGCCGAACCGTGTATTACAATGCCGTTATGTGATGACCTCCAAAGAGAAAAGCAAGCATACTCGGAATAAAGTATTATTTTATTTTTAAAAAATGTTTTCGGATTTCACACCAACAGGAAGTCCGGTTAACTAAAATGTCCGTGCGGAACAATACCCCAACCCATAGATCCGTGGGTGAATAATGTCAATCACCACATTACACACATCCCTTAACATTTACATTTTAATTTACATTAAAGTATTTTGTGAGGCCTTCTAAAATGTTTTTAAATATAATTAGGGTTGTCGTTGAAGAGTTTGTAAGCACAACGGCACGTACATTAATTCAGATACGGATACAGATTTCAATATTCTGAGCCCCTACTCTCCCCATAACTGACGGCAACAAAAGTCCTACATTATTCAATTAAAATGAAGAAGTAAAAACAATAAGTGTGGCTTGATATTGAGTAAGAAAAAGGTTGATAAACGCTGTGAGAATGGATCTGCGGGTAGCATTCTCTCGCGATCTCAAGTCATCTACAACATACGTTTAGGGAGCTCTATAGAAGCCTATGGACATCCCGGAAAGTTGAAAATGTACGCCAAGTACTTGCGTTGGAAAAAGCCGAAACGGCTGCGCCCCTCTTGCGTTGGAAAAAGCCGACACAGGGGACTTGACATACAGATGTAGCGCTTCATTTCAGACAGTTTGAAATGCGAGGGCCGTGATTGGTACGTGATCTGCCCTCGCTCAAGGGAAAACCTCCAGCGTGACTTGAGACCTCCCCCGTGATAAATAAATGTAATTATAATGAAGCCAGCTGCAATGTCTCCCTTGAAAAATAGATCATTGATCTCAATGGGATTTTACCTGGATAAATAAAGGTTTTGAATTTGAATTGAATGGATCATTGATCCACCAGGGGGTGCAGTGGGGTTCCACACTGGAGCTCATGTGAAATAAAGTCAGATACAGTACGCTGGATGTACAGCGGAACTTTGTTAAGATCCATATGTCACGGATATCATACTCTGTGCTAAATAAGAGACACGTAATCATTTACAAAACATCACCATGTTGTTATTTAACAAAATAATGTTGTTTAGTCGAAAAAAACGAACGGGAGGAAATGCAGCCCGGCTCTCGATTTGTAATCCTAATTTAATCATCATCTTCACCACGATCATTTATGTTTATGTTCGCCGAATTGACATGAAATCACTGACACATATGAATATACTGTATTCAACTTCATTAAAACGTTATTAACGTGCCTAAACTCAGTAATTCACAAAAAATATTTATATTGTAATGGAGCCTCGTCGGCAGATCAGGCATGAAGGGTGTTATTTTCCCCATAAGGAACAAGTCGCTGCAAATTATCCGGCTTATTACATGGCCACATTCTCAACAAAGTAAATATTAATTGAAATGCTTTTATGGATTTAGAAAATATTTTTATCGATTTAAAAAATAGTTGTATGTATTGATTTAAATTGACATGCATCCGCTAAGAAAAATAGTCCGTTGTTACCGTTTTTTAAACAGTCTGAATGAAACGGCAGCTCTCAGCTGTGTATTTACACAACTTATGGCCCATCAACCACAGCTCTCTCCCCCCCCCCCCCCCCCTGATCTTTCTTCTCCAGCAGCTAAATTAACTGTAGGTTACTCTGAGTGACAAGCTGACACAACACTGTCATTGCAAGTGACCCTCAGTTAGTTGACTTTTATGTTCAACTGCTAAATTCGTTACTGATAAAAAAGGGCTTCTACTGTACCTTATTACCTTAACACTAGAACCGCCAGAGGTTTTTGTATAGGCCTACCTACCACCGTCAAATCCCGCTATTAGAATGCAATGTCTAACAACATAGGGTGCTACATAACACACTTTCAGGAAAAGTCACGGACTGGGAGACTTTAATATTTTATTGAAAAAAAGTTACATTGCACACACACAACACACATCACACAAATTGACCCGATTGGCGGTTCTAGTGTTAAATAAACTCACTAATGAATTAAACCAGTTCAATACACATTATTCTTATTCTTATCATTCTTTATGAGCGCAGAAATAGTCTTAAAATCAGACCAGTTTTTTAAATGAAACCTGACGGCAGGCAGTTAGCTCTGATCACCTATGATAAATGCGCCACACCTAATCGCTGGCCATTCAGCCACAGAGCTCCCTCTATACAAATTAAGGACGGGTGGCGCAGTGGTCTGTGCATCTGATCATCAGATCAAGGGGGGTGCTGGGGAACTCCAGTTCGAAACCCGCTCCTGCCGCCACTGCGTCAGGCCGTTGTGTCCTTGGGCAAGACACTTCACCCGGATTTGCTCCTGTGGGTAATGTCCACAGTAGATGTATAATATCAATGTGTACTTGTAAAAGCGCCTCGATGACTTCGAGGCGTGAAGATGGACAGTGTGGCGCAGTGTGCTGTGCAATGATCATCAGATCAAGGGGTGAAACCCACCGCTGCTGCGTCTGTAAAGCCGTTGTGTCCTTGGGCAAGACACTGCACCTGAACTTGCTCCTCTGGGTATTGTCCACAGTGACCATTGCATGTATACAAAAATATGTGTATTTATAAAGCGCTTTGAGCATCTGGAAAAGCGCTATAATAAATGTAAGGAATTATTATTATTATTAAATCAAACTGTAGACGGTGTGAAAGCACCTATTGTTTAATGGCCGGAATGTGACCTGTGAGCCTTCTGAATTACCGTGGGACAGCACATTCTAAACTAAAATGTTCAATCAATAAAGTAACATCTTATCTTAATAATATCTTCATATTAATAATAATAATAATAAATCATACAGTATGTGTCCGAAAGGGAGCAGGAGGAAGCAAACAGCATAACAAATAAAGAAGTGTAATGTAAACATTTACATTATTATTATGATTATTTAATATATAAAGACTATATATTATTGAATTACAAGATATACTACAAGATATTATAAGATATACTTTAGTTGATCTAAAATATTGATGTGTTCAAATGCTGTTCAAAACACAACTGCAAGTCCATGGAACTTGTCTTTCTGTATTTGAGAATGAAGCGCCATCTCCTGGTTAAAACCTGAAATTGAAAATCTGGCAACGCCCTCTTGGAAAATAGTGGGAGGGCTTAACATTCCTCGATACTGGTTTTAGGCAGGTCGTAGGCAGGAAGCTGTAAGCTGGAGTCTGAAATTAGGTGCTACATCTGTAACGTCAACATAGGCCAACCTGGGAGTGAGGATGTGTTGCCCTGATGCACTAATTCTAACCCCTATGATAACTTTGTTGTAGCTTGGTGTTTTCCAGAAAAAGTAGTATCTCTGCCTATTTCCCTGAGATCTACTCTCCTCTGAAATACCATGGTCAAGAGACCACATTCACTCTCAGTGTCCCTTTGCCCCCTTCTTCCTGCTGAGGGTGGGACAGACTCTGGGTAAACACTTATCTGTTGGAACAGAACTAGATCATTGATGAAGAGCAGTTATTTAAATATCTCTGCAATGCTGTGAAGGATGAGCCTTGGGCGACAGACTGATTATTGGTTAATGTGAACAGTGTTGTACTCCGACTGTCCCTGTCTTACTCGACCTCAGTTAAAGATTTCAGTTCATTTGGAGCCAATTCCTAATGCATTTAATAATGTCATAACTCTTACCCCCTACACCACTTTATAAAAGCACCAGTGGCAACTTGATACTTTTATAAAAAGCCTGCTGTGAAATACACTGTCACTATAACATCAAAATGTGTTCCCTCTTTTATTTGTGGTGTCGTTTTTAAGAAGTGTATGTAGGAAAAAAAATGGAAAAAAATAAGGATGTGTGGGGGTTAAATGTTTTACTGCAGACATTGTGATTGGTAAGGAAGGAAAGCATTTTGGCATTACTCATACTGTTCATGTTAATACATCTGTAAGTTTGAGGATGAAGTTTGTCAGCCCTTTTAGAGATGGGGTAATATAAATCTCTCCCTCTCTCTCTCTGCAGTAAACTACTATTGGTCACACTTCTAAAGATTATTTGTTCAATAAGTACAGTATAGTAATACCAATCATTTTATTTTTGTTATGAAGGTGGCAGCCAACACATTGTCCTCCCCCCAGCACACAGGAAACTACACACACACTTTGTCTTCTCCTCAACATGCCCCCAACTTCAACCTGCTGTCCCCCAGCCACCAGCCAAACTACGCCACCTATAAAGAGGGCTACAACGTTTACGGCATTGAGAGTGTCAAGATCTAACACGGGTAGGAGAGTGATGATTGATGGCTGAAACTTTCCTCACCTCACAGTCATACACATTCTTTAGAATTCACTTTCAATTGGTATCCATTCATACCATCAAACAGCAGCTGTAGTATCATTATGGTGGTGCCTAGCAGCTTCAAGGACACATTTTAATATGGCCAATGGTTCAAAGTGGAACTTGATCTGGTATGCTGTTGAGCGTTTAGTTTTAATGGCAGTTGTGGCATTGAATGACAAAATCAAAGAGGAGATAATTAATCAATGAAAACAGTAGTTATCTTAAAAAGAGGTATTGAGGCCTCATAGAAAAGATAACTGTTTTATTTAAGGCAAACAATTGGCTGGGCCTATTTTTTTTTAAATTGCAACATATAAGTTTACAATATAATGACTTTTATGCAAACATTTTAGGATATTTTTTAAATTCAATGCCAAGTTTCAGTTCCAAAGAGCTTACGCTACTGCTTTGTTTCCAATTTATTAATGTTGGTATTATTATGTTATACTTTTTGCATGTTAAAATGATCATAAAAAGAAGACAAAAGTAATAACTGTTGTTGACTGGCACTGCTGATGGTATGATTCACTAGATGTTCAGGAATGCAGCAGTTGTTCTTGATAAACAAAAGCAACACTGCATGCAAAGTATCTGGATATTATCTAACCTGTGTATGGCTGTGAAACTCCTTTGTCCACTCATCACCTCTCCTCACTCCCTCTCACTCCTCTGTCCCGCTTCCTTCTTTACACTCCTCTCTTCTGCTCTATTCAGCCTCTTTCCCATCCGCTTTTCCATTTGTACTTTGTTTAGTTCCCTGATCAAACTTTCTTACGTTCGAGCCAATCATCCTCTTTTATGGACCGACTCTCTGACCGATCACTTCCATCTGCCGTGATGTCAGCTTTTCATTAGGCAGTCCCATGATTTCATTTTCAGGATAGGATGGTTTGGATGGCAGCATTATCAAACAGCGTTAATAAAACACAGCTGTGTTGCTGTGATGAACACCACTGTTGCTTTGAGATGATTTACCTGTTACAACACATACAGTATGGGAATGTCACAGCTCTGCATGGCCTGATGGAAGACACTGTGGGGACAAATGTGAGGCCCAGGTGCACATTTATACTTCAACTGAGATTTCTACAACAGAAAGGACTAGCAAGTCTGCCTTTAGGGAAGGATGAGCTGAACCTGGGCACTCAACCTTGGAATAGTGGGTCAAAGTGGAAAAGATCAGGGGAAAACTTCTGTCGCATTACATAACCTTCCCCTCAAAGTCAGGAGACCCAGCCAGAATGTGGTTGTTTTAAATAAACAGGAGAACTGTACCCCATTATACACATGTTAGCGTCAGAAGACACTTCTATTGTCACCTCACCCGGCAAATCTTTCCCACCTAGACATACTGTATGTAATACGTAAAGTAGTCTGGAAACAAAATCAAGGCCGGCCCTCGCACACTCATTACACTCCATATAATTATCCTCTGACGATAGGTTCACCATAACAACACATCAATAGAATAGAAACCATTGACGGATGGAGCACAGCCACTCCACTTCCTACTCCAGCTTCTCAACTGTTGTTTCTGTTTAACCTTCTAGATGTTTCTGCTTGGACTACAATGCATTAGTGTTGGAGATTGGCTTGTATAGATGTCTCTTATTCTCTACCGAGTGAATGAACTGAATCTACTTGTATCCATCAATATCATTTATGTTCCCCTAAGGATAGGAATGAGGTACACCACCATATTTTAGTTAAGCCTCACAACAAAGTGATATCCTATATTACATGTATTGAACATTGTTTCTCTCCTTCAGCAAACACAAGCTAAACTCATAACAAATGATTTCAAAAGGAAAGTAGCCCAAAGCTTATTGAGTTATATGATGTAGCAGTATCAGGCACCATGGCCAGGTATCCTTAACAAAAAGATAATGTTAGAAGTTCCTCTAAACCAGAATTCATACTCATTCACAACATATCAATGGTCCTCAATGGTTTCATCTGCCTCAAATGTGTATTCACTTTTGCCCATACTGCAACATACTTCACGATGCTTTGGTCCTGTAATGCTACAGTACATCTCGCTGCATTGAGTGGCCTCAGTAAAAGTTGTTGTATTTTATGTCTCTCTCTTTACCTCCATTTTCAAAATGTATAGATTTATACCATATTCTACTGAGACATATTTTTTGTTTTTTTTATAAAATGGTGAATAATAAAACTCATATCTTCAATTAACACTGGGGACTGTGGCTGGGAGGAAGTGCAGTCTTTTCTCAACCAGAAGGTTGTGGGTTCGATCCCAGCCCTGCAGTCAACATGTCAATGTGTCCTTGGGCAAGATACTGAACCCCTGAGATGCTCCCGATGGCCAACGGTGTGTGAGTGTGTATAAATGTTAGTTCCTAGAGCAAGTGGTGCTAGGTGTGAATGGGTGAATGACTGGTAGTATGTAGAGCACTTTGAGGGGTCGAGAAGACTGTAAGTACAGTCCATTTAACACACTGCTAAGAGCTGCACAGTTAGTGGGTTCCTTTCAGCTATATTCATATGAAATAATAATCAAAGATTGTATTACTATGATGCAAAACTCCAAGCAATCAAGCAATTCTGTTCATTGATTTGTAACATCCCCCCACAATTGACCTTATGCACGTTTGCTATTTGCTGATCACCCACTCATTAAAGCTAGCTTTCAATATTCATATCTATCTCACTCTCTTCATCTCCCTCTTCCTTTCTTGGTGATATTTTTTTTAAATGGGGATCATTGGCAGCTCATGTTGGATATACGTGCCATAGGAATGGGTCTCAATTTAAAAGAATATGTAAAATAAAAATGTGGTAACGCTATATAATGTTGAAGTAAGCAATAGTTAATAGGTAATAAGGTCCTCAGCAGTCCCCAACCTTTTTTGCGCCATGGACCGGTAAGACAATAGTTCACGGACGGGCCTTCCAGGTGTGACGAAATAAAATGATACAACAGGCATAAAAACAAATATGAAGGCGGGCTGGGCGATAGATTTCTGAACAAAATCTTTTGACCGGGGGAAAAAACGCTTCACAAAGACGGAATGTTGGACATAGAAACAGGGTTTTCAGTGCTTCTTTGGCGATCTCAGGATAATCTGCCATGATTTTAATCCAGAACACAGGCAGAGTTGTTGTGGGAAACATACTTTTAAGGCCACCTGTTGATAGCCAGCACGCTTTTCTTCTTTTTTTTTTAAAAGTAAAGTATCACATGACTAAGACGAGCGTCTTGTCAACAGACACAGATGCTCATGATGTATCCAGTCATTTTTCAAAATAACACATATTTCAAACTGATAATCAATAAAATATTTCTTTATTCAATCTTTCTGTGCGGCCTTTCATTTCAAACCTTTATTTATACAGATAAATCCCATTGAGATCATTGATCTCTTTTTCAAGGGAGACCTGCTCAAGTAGTTCCACATGAAACATAAAAACATAAATAGAACAACTAAAGGACATCATACAGCATCATTTACATAATTATTAGGGATGCACGATAATTATCGGCCTGATAATTATCGGTCCGATATTAGGAATTATGACGTCATCCCGATAAACCCGATACCAGTATTAATAGCCAATATACAATATATTTTTTGGGTAAAAAAAAATAAAAAATACTGCGGTGTGGGTGGATTGGGATGAGGGGCGCTTGTTTTTCACTCTGCTCCTCCCGTTTTGCCAGTACTGTGGTATTAGTGGTTTAGGAAGAGGGGAGTTCTTCACAAATCCAGCGCTCCCTAACTCATGCCTGGCTGGGACGTAAATGGTGTGCGGCCGTGAAGTATGGTGGTATGGGCGTTGGAGCTATGTGCAACTCAAGGCATATGCTCGAACGGGAGCTGCCTGGACGCTGCAATCATGTTGCGCACTATCCGTGCTGAGTGTGCTGACTTTTCGTACAATGTCCCACTGTCTGGCTTCCTGCATAAAGTCAAGTGCTCGGCGCAGTTGTGGCGAAATGTCGCTTCTCTGTTTTCATTTAAACAGCTCCTTATATCCGTTAGCGCAGCTAGCTAGCACCAGATGCTAACAACAACAATGCACGTAAGGTCTCTCGCTCGCTCGGGCCACACATACACACACCCTCCCGGTCCTCCAGATGGCCAGTCGGTGCCTTTATATATACAGTCTATGTTCGGTGCCTGCCGGTGAGCGTGGAAGTGTGGTCTGCCACAAGCGGGCGGCAGGAGCGGGGCTGTCAGCATCAGCTTGTAGATGGTATTTTAAACTCAATGCGCTCTGAAACTACAGGGCGGCCAAGGAAAAAAAATACACATGCGTTAATCGCGTTAAAATAATTAGTGGCGTAAAAAAATGTGTTTTATCGGTATCGGTCTTGAGAAGCAGGAAGTTATCGGTATCGGTTTCAAAAAACCAATATCGTGCATCCCTAATAATTATCCACATAAACAGGTACCAATAGCTTCCGATTGAGTAGCATCCAACCGAGCTTTAAAAACATTTAGTGGCACCAGATTGCTCAGTTTACATTTAATTTGCAGACTATTCCAAGACAGAGGAGCTGCGCATCTAAAAGCTTTCTTCCCTAAGACAGTCCTAGCAGTTGGCACATTTAATAAAACCACAGCATTCGATCTCAGGCAGTAGCCACTTACAATTTTCCATGAGATCAGGGAGCAGATATAAGATGGAAGTTTCCCTAACATGGCTTTGTATATAAAAATGTACCAGTGACTGAGCCTCCGTACAGTTAGTGAAAGCAAACCAGCCTTGGCATACGGGGTACAGTGATGGGTTAATGCTTTACAGTTTGTCACAAATCTCAGTGCGCTGTGATACGCAGCATCTAACTTGACCAGTTAATTGGCAGGTGCATTCATATACATCAAATCACCATAGTCCAGCACAGGTAAAAAGGTCACAGTGACTAGCCTTTTCCTGGCCTCAAGCGAGAAACAGGACTTATTTCTGTAGAAGAAACCTAGCCTAACCCTCAGCTTTTTAAGCAGGTTATTGACATGAAGTTTAAAAGTGAGACAATCATCAAGCCAGATACCAAGGTATTTGTAACAGGTAACCACTTCAAGTGTTATTCCTTGCGTAGTTCTAAAAACAGGCTCTGGTGTCTTTTTTGCTTTAGAAAAGTGCATTACCTTGGTTTTCTCAACATTTAAAAGAAGCTCAGAGAGCTGAGTCTGAATAATGTTAAAAACATCCTGTAATTTAACACCAGGGACCTGCACAATACATCACGGTATCGTCCGCATAGAAATGTAAAGTAGCTTCATCCACATTTTCACCTAAACTGATATATATGGAGAATAAAAGTGGACCTAAAACAGAACCTTGGGGAACACAATTAGCAATGTTTAACCACTCAGAGGACAGCCCATCAAAGTGAACACATTAGCCGCTTTCACACCGCTGGACTTGCGGTACTTTAGTGCCGGCACTAAAGTACCACGGCACTGAATCCGCCAGGGGGCTAGTGCCATAGCCGCATTCACACCGCAGGACTTTCCCTGAGGCAAGATTACGCTGACGTCACTTCGTCTTCTTCTTCTCTGGGTTTACTGGCAGGCCGCAAAACCACTTCACGGCGAGTACAAAAAAAAACGAGAGAAGAAGAACTACACGGGGGAGGGGGTATACACACCTTAGTGCAAGTTAGGTGTCAGTATTAAAAAACAGTGGCAATATATATATATAATAACAATAGAAAATCGTTACCACTCTTATTATTGTGGTCTTTAATTTTTTTATAGTCCTGCCTGAGTTTCTTTCTTTTTACCCGGCATCCGTGTGCACTGTGCACGATTCCCAGCTCAAGTAGCTTTTGCGAACATCGCTCAAAACATTTGGAGTTGGGAACTGCTTTCTGTAGAAGCTGCTGCATCCCGTCCTCGGAGAAAATTGCCAGAAGCGCCGACACTTCCTCACCATTCCACCGCTCCGGTGTTGTAGTAGGCCTACGTGTGGTCATAACTGCTTTAAAGTACAAAAAAACTACTCGCTCAGGTGTGGATGTGGTTTTGTAGCGAGGAAAAAAATGGCTGCCTAACAAAACAAATTCAGAGTCTAACGGGGCGTGGTTTGCAATTCGCCCAGCCAATAGAAATAGAATAGAAATTGGCACTCTTTTATCACCAGGTTAGTACCACCTCTCTAGCAGGGACTGAAAATGGCCAAAAGATTTCCCGGCACTGAGTAGTCCCGGCGGTGTGAACGCGACATTATTGGTACTAACGGAACTAAAGAACCAAAGTACCAGGGAAAGTCCTGCGGTGTGAATGCGCCTAACACATTGGGACCTTTCAGAGAGGTAGTTCACAAACCACCCTACTGCATGGCTGGACATGCCTATACTGGCTAGCCTCTGCTTTAAAATGCGATGATCGACGGTGTCAAACGCTTTTGAGCTGCACAACTCTGCTTATTATCTAAAATACTCGCCACATCATTCACCACTTTCATTGTGGCCTGATAACAAATAACCCACTGAGCAGTACCAGTCCCCAGACCAATGGTTTGGGACCACTGCCTAAATGCTTGAATGGTAACTAATTGTAATGTTGCAACACAGGTGCACAACTAAATGCAATTTTGAATCTCAGGGCAGATAATATGGCATCCTATTATATTTATAATTAGATATATTGAGATCATTTGAGATCAGTAATCCAGTGCCGCCTCCTCTGCGGTCAGGGTGTGTAACGGAGTAAGCTGGTGAAAGAGCAGCAGGAGTACCATCTGCTGTGATCAAGCTTCAGTGAGAGCATTGCAATCCAGAGATTGTGGGAAGGCATAGCCAGAACTGAACTCAATAGTTCAAGTAGCAGAGTGGCAGTTCCACAGGCCTCCTGTGACAAAGTATTAAGTGTGAGTGGAGCTAGGTGGATAGATGGGAGCAGAAAGGTATATATTTATAATATCTTCAAGAAGAAACCTGAACAGGAACAAAGAGTTCACGTCTATATGAGGAGAGTGAAAAGACAGCTCAAAAGATATTTTGCCAAGTCTGAGTTGGTCTCAGTTATCTGTCATCGTCTCACATTAAAGCTCACGCTTCAAGAAAATGCTGGTTTAAAAGGAAACTTTTCTTGATTGCTCAGCTGCTGGGCCACACCGCTCTAATCAGTGCACACGAAAAACTGCTGTTGAGGCCATCAATCCATCAAAACTCTTTCAACTGAGAAATGTAATCAGTCAAAGAACCCAGTTTTTCACATTCAACCCAATTTTTACTAAAAACACATTTACACAGAGCACAATGAACAGGAAAGATAATGAAACTGTCGTTAGTTATTTAATAAGATGAAGATAGGTTCAAGGTTCTTTATTGTCAAACTAACATAGCTACAGAGTAATTATGTCGTTGAAAATCTTCGGTCACAGGCTTCTCCAACAATGCAACACAATAATACAGATAAGCAGACAATATTAAAGCAATATTAAAGTATATTATATTAAAAGTAATACAAAAGAAAAATAGTTCTTAAAAAAAGTGGAATAGTGCAGTACAAGTCTATATACAAGTTATTGGAATGATATATTAGATAATAGATAAATAATTACTAAGTAGCAGATGAATGTTGTGAAATTGTTTATATAATATATGATATATAATAAACAAGGTTTGAGTACACTGAGTTTTGCTTTCAGAGCTCCTGTCTTCAGAATGAGTACTTTATGTTGTCAAGGTTGATAACATGTGAATAAAGAATCACATTTAAGTAGTGTTTTAGTGAAGAAAATAAAAATTGAGGACAGCTCTTAACAAAGAAGGATTATTTAATCTTTCTTTGTTAAGAGCTGTCCTCAATTTTTAAATGCTTGAATTAAAAAATTCAGGCAGCAATATGTGGCCACAGAGAGAACATACTTTCTCACCAAAGCTTTCCCTGACAGGTCTTCAAAGGAACACTAAAATGACACTGTTAAACATTGCGGTAACAAAAGGGAAAATATGTCTGTTTTTTTAATGTTGATGAGATTAATTTTATATAAAAAGTTCTGGAATTACGTCTTTAAATGAATTGTGATGATACTGTAATTGTAATAATAATTGTACCTTTATTTGTGAAAGGCCTGTTTGTGGAAGCTTTTTAAAACACTCATGTTCCCGTTTTTTATATAAAACGGCCGTCTCTTTTGTGCATTGCTAGAACATTGTATGTATTCATATTCATTATGAATTCATTCATTCATACCACATTAGTATAAAGTTTGTTGTTAGTGATACATTAAATATTTAAAAAAAAATCATAGCTAGCTATAAAAAAAGCCATAATAAAGGATTTATTCAACATTAATAAGTCAATGGTACCTGCCAAAAGTGAAAATCTGGTGGCATTAAGCCAGAAATGAAATAATGAACAGAACTTGCCAATGCATGTGTAATCTCATGTTTTTAAAAAGTAAAACAACGAGTAGTGTACTGCTTGCACATGCTCTTCAATGTAGTAAACCTAACTCAGTTTGCCTGTTTGTCATGTGCACAGTGAGTATGAAAAACTTGGACAAGAAGAAACTGTGTAAAAAACATTATTTTTGATCGTTTTTGATACGTTTCTGGGTCATTTTAGAACCAGTAGGCCAAGGGGGATACATAATAACAGCCTGTTCCCCTCGGCTGCAAACAGAGGTTATGTTACATTCTCTATTCCCTATTCAAAGTGTACTAATATTAAATGCAGAATAAATGCGATAATATAGTAATAATAAAACCAGTGTCATGAGTATACTGCAGAGACTTCTGAAGGGGGACACTGTACAAATATTCAAGTCTATTAAGAACAATACGTTTTTGTCTTTAAAGAAAATGCAAGATGATTGCTTTTCTAATAATACATTTAATTCCACACTCAAGATAAGTTAAAATTATTTTCTACGTTGCAATGCATCCCACAATGCATTTAAATCACATCAGGCTGATAATCATTTTAAGGAATTGTTCAGGATTTTAGGAAAAACGCTATCACTGAAACCAGTTTTTAAATTTCTTCCAGACATGAGATTGATATAAATCTTCTCTTGTAAAAAAAGTAAATAAGCACATTTCCCAAAACAATGAACCATTCCTTTAGGGTAAGTGTTGTGTTACAACATCTTTTCTAGGTAGTTGTTGTTTGGGTTTCATGATTAAAACTTTTTTTTGTTGTACAGATGAAATTCACAGATGCGATGCGCTCCAAAGCTCGTCTATCCATCACAGGATCGACCGGTGAGAATGGTCGTGTCCCGGTGGCTTACCTCCGTCCAGGATTACCCATGAGCCTCAGCATGACTGACCTGTCCTGACCTGACCCATGCCAGTGCCTTACAGCCGCGCCACACATCCTCCTGCCCTCTGACAGTGAGTGGAAATGCTTGTCATCTCCGTTGGTGACCAATTACCACTCACCATGGGTGATCTACCCTGATTTTCAATCTGGAGTTTCCCAATCATATCACGCTGAGGACTCCTGATCTTACTATTTATTATTTCGCCTACAAAGACTGGACACAAGTTGTCCCCCACCACTGGCTGTCAGGTTTTAGCAAAGACCTGCCAACCTACAAAGTGAATCACTGAACCATCAGCAAAAAGATGGCTGGTCATTTATAATTAATAAAAAAACAATTAAGCACAGTGGACAGTTTTTAAACAAACACATCATTGTTTCGTAGATTTTTGCCATGGAGGCTTTAGAGACTAAGGACAACAGCGATGCTGACGTTAATGCAATAACAAGATTAATCAGGGATGTGATCAGGAATTGTGTGTATACAAAAAGAGTCTTGGTTAAAGTGCTTTGAACAAAGACGGATGTCCTGAAAAAATCACATCCATGAAATAATAGTAAATGTAATAACAGATTATGATAATGGTGTTATTGTTCTTAATTATTTTTCTTAATTCTGCCTGAAAATTCCTAATTAGTAGAGTCTTTTACCAAACCCAAGGGATGCATGGACTGATAAACACACACACAAACACACACACACACTGGTATTGTACATAGACTATACACAGGGATGGGCGGAAACAAAGCCTAAAATCCTAAAACTTATAAGCAAAAAGTAGAACATCAGTTTTCAGCGGGAATTTTGATAAAAAACATAAGCCATTGAAATAGTTTGGACCACTGACACGTTGTCCAGCAGGGAGGACAGCTTGACCCCAGGACAGGGCTTTAGTCTAGTGTTGCAGAGCGCTACATCAGCTAATGGCCAGACACAGTTTGGGTTATGTGAATGTTCTTTCACTGTGGCTGTTGTCTCTGTGGTACAGTTGACTTTGCAAGCTTTCAAAGGGCCACATGTTGTATTCTCCAGCCAATAAAGCAGCTGCTCAGGAGGGGTTTGGCTCACAGCCCAGCTAGGCACAGTGACTACAAATATGTGCATAATTCAAATATCAGTTATGATGCTGTAAGTTACATTTGCAGACCATTTCAAGTATATTTTACTTGGGGCAATAAGCCCCAATATAGCGAGGGGCTTGAAAAGGCTGAGACTCAGTTACAGCTGGTCCCTGGTTACACAAGCTTAGAGGATGGATAATGGTGGAACAGCTTGCGGAATAAAAAAAAGAAAAAGTTTCATAATGTTTGGAATAATGTCAAAACAGGACAAATTATCTGTGCAGTGTTATCAAAAGATAGATTATATATGTATATAATATACATTACATTTATATGTTCATATAAATATGGTGCTTCAAATACAAATTAAAAAAGATCCTGCCCACCCCTGTCTATAGGTCAGCTCACAATACAGATCCTAATCACCTATACACAACCCCAATACACACTGACATACCTCAGCACATACACACTTCAACCCTAACATTTGCACGTGCACATGCACATATTATTGTCAAATAAGTTCTAAAGCCAACTGGATAATGTGCCAAACAGACTGAGAACCAATCAGAGCTCTCCATGCTCAGCCAATGGCAGCTGCTGATACTGAAACCTGAGCCAATGGGAGCGCTCACTGCTGTGAGATGGACAAGAAACTGTGAAAAAGTCCTTCCTTTTAATAAACATACTGCATTGATGATGGCATCGAAGACGAGGAAGCCGAAAAGAGGATGAAGAAAAACATTTGCATGTCACTTTGAGTTTTGCTTTACGATAAATTGACAGCCGGAAGCTTTGAGCCTGGCTGCATTTTAATGTTTAATAATAATAGTAATAAGAATAATATCAACGATTTAATTGCAGTAATAATGTGGTTCTTGTTATGTATAGTGTATGTTTTTAAGAACTCAAGTATGCTATTTTTCTTTCACCAGGAGGCTGTTATTAATGCTATTAGTTAGAGGCGAGCTGGTTAACTTCTCCCACAACATTCAACATGTTGAGAACGTCTGGTTTGAGAGAAGCTGAAACTGTCAGAAATCTTCTTCTGACATTTCATATCTTAGACGCATATCATGAGATTTCCATGGTGGTGTTATCAAACACTGATAGAGATGTGGAAATGATCCCTCATCACTTTCTTGGTAGTTGATTTTCACCAAAGTAAATTATGATTTGGGATGGATACCCCGAATATTTTTTGACATATGAGTATAACCACATAGTATTTAGTTTATTTGTGATCTGACTGTTTCATTATATATTAAACTTGCCTGCCCTCAAAATGTTTTTATAGAGAAACACACAGACTCATATAACATAAGACATGAGTCCTGAGATTTGAACCCATTGCATTTGTCTTTTGTTTAAAATGACTTTTGTTTATGTTGACAATGATCTTTAATGGTCATATGAATTATGACTGTCTTTAAGGAATAAAGAGTGTGATATGAAAGTGTTAATAAAATGCGTGTAGGGAGAAGGTGTGTGACTGATAAGAGATATTACTGTCCATTTTATATTTCAGCCTCTCCTGAATTAATATCTTTGGACATCCTGCACTAGCTGTTTTATTGTAGAGATCACTACAGTATCTTCTGGATATTTTCTATTCTATATTTCTATCATTGACCTTCTACTTTCCCCTTATTTTGTATGTAGGCTACTCTTAATATGTATATGTTTTCATCAAATATAACATATTCAATAAAAAAATGCAATAACGTGCTTTAACCACTAGGCGGTGCGGGTTAAAAAACTGTCAACCTTAATAAATTATACTTTATCAAGATGTTACAAATAACACACAGCATACAATGCCATAATAACTTTATATTATTAGTGTAGGACACTATATATATATATAAGGTATACTTGTAGATGTGTATATATATATATATAAGGTATACTTGTAGATGTGTAGTTTTATTCGTGTTTTCACATAATTGTACAGGATATTGCTATATTATTTCACGTATTGTAGTTCTACACATTAATATCTGAGCCATATCCGTCATTTAATGGTAAGCTGTTGAAATTGTGATTCCATAGATGTGTCTCCCATCACCAAAAACCCCTGACTATTCTCTCAACTCAGTATTTACATTCTTATATTCAAAGAAAATCAGTAATATCTTTAAAAACTACAAGTCCTTTTCTATCAGCTGTGCACCGTTATGGTGTAAATATAATCTACGAATTGGATCAAATATAAAAGTCAGCCGAATTAGTGTTGATACTGCAAGGAGACGTATTGTGTGAAGAGAAATGGAAGATATTGTTTAATTGCTGATTTATGATCCATGTCACATATTCAGTTTCGGCTGCAGTTCTTCCAGTTTGTCCAAAGGTCTTCTCATCAGGGCTCTATAAATAAAGAACTAGGGCAGATGTGTAATATTTAATGCAGCCGAACCGTGTATTACAATGCTGTTATGTGATGACTTTCAAAGAGAAAGGCAAGCACACTCGGAATTAAGTATTATTCTAAAACATTTTTTAAATGTTTTCGGATTTCACATCGCATAAACACCATATCCCAACATGCATTACAGCTAAAACATCCAATCACCGAGCTTCAACGATAGCTGAGGATTATGGGTATGTTTTAAAAACCTCTGAAAAAGGAAATGTGTTTCACAGAATCGAAAGGGAAACACCTGGGAAAAGCAGTGTACACAATTTAAACCAATTAATGTCATGTAATCACATAAACTGATGTGTTTTAGTGGATAAGTATGGCAGATATCACTGTCAAATCATTTGACAGTTTTGTTATGAAAACTTCAAGACCGGAAATACTGTTTTCACCCCGTGAGGGTTGACGCTAATTTTATATAGGGGAAAGACATACATCCTGGCGAGACCTCAAATAATCTTCGTAATATCTATCAAACTATAGATCCTACACATCCACTGGACGTGGATTCTAAAAGTACAATATACACTTCTCGCTAGAAATCTAATCAAAAAGCATTTTAATGGCCAACCTATTGTACAATTTAGAATTTTCCAGAGAGGGTTATTTGTGAATATACGACCCTCCGGAGCGTTTGCAATTGCCGCAAATTGTTGTTTCTTACACGACCACTAGAGTTGCTGAACTTTAAAACATGACTACATGTAGTAATAAGCTGCTGAACAATCAACCTATTTGGTCGTATGAGTTGGAGGACTTGTTGTTATATTTCCATCACACTTGCATTTCCCAAACATTAGCTTGTTACTGTTTTCTTGTTATCTTGCTCGTTTCCTAACTTCTAACATATTGTTGTGCTTAAACGTATCCAAACCGTTCTCCAGTCTCCAAATGCACAATTGTTAACAGTTTGTAAAAACATCTAACCTGGATTCTACTACACGCTTCATCCGAATGTGAACAAATGAACTTTAGATTTTCTCACCTGTTATACACTACTTCTCTGATATTTTATGATATGCTTTAGATTTTAATCCTGAATCATGTTAAAGTTTGAGGACTGGGAATTCAAAGATGCACTGAACTTTCCTCTATTCTTCTTTGCTTTTGAAATTGTCATTGTTTGAAAAACGGTGTACCCAACATGAAGATTAGAGCTGCCTATGGGAGAAAAGCAAGCCATTTTGAAACTGAGAGAAGATGGAAAATCCATCAGAGCCTTGGCCATAGCCAGTACAACCATTTCAACCCAGTCTCACGGCATTTCGTGTTCACCAAAACACGATTTTTAATCTATTGATTCGTGTTCCCCAACACGATTTGCCCCTTTTTTTTCGTGTTGCACAGCACGATTTTTTTCGTGTTGCACAGCACGATTTTAAAAGCAATGTATTTCTATTGCCTGCAGCACGTATTTTTCTCCGGTCGGGTCGAGGAAGACCTGAAGCTGTGTGGTTCATAAAAACATGTTCTTACTCAATATCAAGCCACAATTATTGCTTTTATTTTAAATCGTATAATTTCGGTCTTTTGTTGCCGTCTGTGAGGAAAATAAATGGGGCTCAGAGCCTCAGGATACTGAAATCTGTATTTTTAAATATTTTTTTCCTTCTAATTTGTTATTCTTTTCAAAATAACACACTGTTATTTACTCACCAATAACACACAATTATTCTTGATTTTATTTATTGGTTTAATTCCATAATCTCTGGCTTTTTTGGCGTCCGTCAGGAACTGAATTTCAAAATAAAATATCCGGAAACAGACGTAGGACGATAAGGGACATTTCAAGCGTCATTGCAATTGTCAACCTTTCTGAGTTTAGGATGGCCGAAGACACTACACTACCCATAATCCCCAGCTATCGTTTAGGACTACAGTCCCCCGTAAGGTTACGCAGAGCGTCTAACAGCTGTGTGAAATGGAACGAAACCACCCAGACTATCCAAAACTGGAATCGAACGCCCCCCCCAGAACTACACATGCTGGATGCTGGCTGTTGTGTTTCGCCAAATGTTCTATGGGACGTCTCTACTGAACGTTTTCGTTTTTCCCACAATTAGAGGTTGCCAGTATTAAACACATTGGCGTTATCAAATGTAAAACTATTATATATTATTTATTATAATTAATAAATGGGTGAAAATCGCTATATATACCCACATGACAGCTCATTGTTACTTTGTAATTCTACTCCACTACAATTCAGAGGTTATGCTGGTATTTTTACTCCACTGCATTTATTTCAGTTACTTTGCAGATTCTGATTAATTATGTGAAATATAAACAACCCTTAAATCAGACTTTAGTTACACCTGAGTAAAATTCAGGTAAGGTGATTGTCAAGTGCCAACAATCAGGAGAGATATTTGATAGTTGGTGCTTGAGAAGACTAAACATGTATCTGCAATTGACATGAATGGAAACGAGTAATAAAGTATATTCATTACTCGTTATTCTCTACTAATAGTTCATTAAAGACTGTATATTATGGCTATTTTGCACATCCCTTTCAAGATTTTCAAAGGTTTATTGACATATCATATACACAACTACGGTGTAGTTATGCAATGAATGAAACACTTGGGTCACAGGTTCCTCAACAGTGCATTACAAGACATCTATCAATATGTTTGTACCTCCACCATTAAACTGTCATATTCTGCACATTTCTTATTCTATCTACATACATACGAGTATAATTCATATGTATAATATCAGTTAAAATAAGTGCTTCAACATAGTTAACATTGCAGGAAAGCAATATATTAGACGTTAAGTACTTTGTCAGGCTTAATATTTATCTGTAGATAGATACCCCCAAAGTTTTTTTCTTATTTAAAAGAAGACCTGAATCTGTTATTTAATGTTTAAATAAAGGTTAATTCGTTTTTCTGTTTTGCACCTCTTCCTATTAATATCTTTGTACATGCTGCACTAAACTGTTTTATTGTAGAGATCACTTTATAGTATCTTCTTGATTTTTTATATTCTATATTTCTATATTTATACTTTCCCCCTATGAAAGTATGTACTCTTAATATTTTTTTAATCAAACACAATAATTCAATAACGTGCTTTAACCACTAGATGCACACAAGGTACACAAATGTTTTCCGGATTTCATATCATATAAACACCAAATCCCAGCATGCATTGCGGCTAAAACATACAATAAGTGAGCTTAAAACCATAGCTGATGATCTTGTGTAATGCCTATGTCCGGTTATTTTTATTTTGAAATTCAGTCCCTGACGGAGGCCAAAAAAGCCCGAGATTATGGAATTAAACCAATAAATAAAATCAAGGATAATTGTGTATTATTGGTGAGTAAATAACAGTGTGTTATTTTGAAAAGAATAACAAATTAGAAGGAACAAAATATTTAAAAAATACAGATTTCAGTATCCTGAGGCTCTGAGCCCCATTTATTTTCCTCACAGACGGCAACAAAAGTCCGAAATTATACGATTTAAAATAAAAGCAATAATTGTGGCTTGATATTGAGTAAGAACATGTTTTTATGAACCACACAGCTTCAGGTCTTCCTCGACCCGACCGGAGAAAAAGACGTGCTGCAAGCAGTAGAAATACATTGCTTTTAAAATCGTGCTGTGCAACACGAAAAAAAATCGTGCTGTGCAACACGGAAAAAAAGGGGCAAATCGTGTTGGGGAACACGAATCAATAGATAAAAAATCGTGTTGGTGAACACGAAATGCCGTGAGACTGGGTTGACCATTTAGAATGTCCTTAAGAAGAAAGCAAGCGCTGGTATACTGAGCAACAGACTTCAAACTGGTTGACCAAGGAAAACATCAGCAGTCGATGACAGAAACATTGTGAGAACTGTAAAGAAACGATCACCAACAACCTCCAGAGGGCAGGAGTGAAGGTATCACAATCCCCAGTTAGCAGAAGACTTTGGGAGCAAAAGTACAGAGGCTACACCAGAAGTTGCAAACCACTCATTAGCAATAAGAATATGAAGGCCAGATTTGAATTTGCCAAAAAGTACAGAGACGAGGCTCAAAAGTTCTGGGACGAGTGTGGATTGATGAGAC